TTATGTCTTTTTAAAGCAGAGGGGAAATGGATCAAGATGTGGCTATGATACAGCAAAATTTTAAAATCAGTTTTCCCAGACGCATTGTAAAATCCTATAAACATGAAAACTCATATGTAGCAACTGTGAACACCTTGGTTTCATTGGAGCCCAATAATCTTCAAGAACTTTTAGACACCCATTCCCCACCCCAGACTAGAAGAGTTATTCTACAGTGCTACTGTCCTCCTATAAGGGACAATCAGAAATTGTTCCCACAATGGTTGCTTTCGCAAATGTGGAGTTGCATTTTTGGTCTCCTATTGCTGTGATTCTAGCAGTCTTTTGATTTAAAATCCAGGGTTTGACTGCTCAGCAAGTAGTAAATTACCTAGTAACTCAGGGACAACTATTTCTGAACTTTTAAGTGGCACTGTAATGTACCTTTGGATAACCATGTTTCTTTGGGCTAGATCAAGGACTACTGGAAAGGTAGGAGTGATTGCCTTTCTCCTGAAGCTGTTTCCTCTCGTAGTGTCCTGAGCATTCTCTACACATGAAACCGAAGCCTAAGTGTTAGGGTTTGCTTTTCTGTCAGAGGTGTCATCTGTGCCTTTCCTAGTGTTTATCTGACAATGTGGATTTCAATGCCTCTACATTTGACTTAAAATCACACTCAGGTGGCACTAAACCAAGTGGCATTTGTCCCATTACTGCATCATCATTAGTGTGAGGCAATTCTGTTTTAGAAAAAGTCCCATCACTATCCCAAAACCCTGCCACCTATGCCACCCATCAGCTACTCCCACCGAATCCTTTAGATTATAGAATTGTTGGCTGATAACTAATTTGCTCAAAGTTCTTGTAGAGGATTGCAAATTTTAGCCTTTTTGTAATGGGGTAATATTGATGGCTTTATGACCTCAGAATTTAAAATTCATTTGGAGTTGATTTTCTTGTCATTAGAAGGTAATGCTTGAACATTTGATTTTTCTATTCTGTGATACCTGGGTGTCATACTATCTTTTAATGGCCTTTGGTCCCAGTTGTGAAATTTTATTATATGCTCATTCATTCTCTACAAACCTGCCCCTTTGGGTCTTGGTGCCTGTGTATCATTGTCTGGTCTCTAGTTGGTGGAATTATCCTTTTTTGTACTGCCACTTCTCAACATTTTTGAAGTTTGACATAATGTTGCTTCATTCCAGTTTTTTTTTTAGTTCTGTAATTTGTTGACTGTATTTAACTATGTGAGCTTTTTTTTTGTGATGTTTACTGTATTGTAAAGCACCTTAATCATGTGATGGGTGTTCTATAAATCAATAAATGATGACTTAGAGGCTGTATCATGAGCTATTTTGGTTTTAGGTTGCAGGTCTCAAGCAAGTTGTGTGATGCTTTATATATAAACAGCATATAATACCAAATGATACACACACAGAAACTTTGATGGATTCATAAGCTTTATTTAAAGGAATTTGAAAGCAGGAGTTAACTTGACTTCCAGTCTGATAAAAATGCTCTTTAAATTTCCAGTGCATGGTCAGTTATCAGAATTTCTGTTCATGGTGACTTAGAGGCTTGAAGTGAACATTTGGCAAACCAGTATTGGGGATCTGTCTTGCTTAAACTAGGCTAGTTCTACCTTAAAGATGAGCAAATTTGTGAGGAACCGAGACTCAAATGTGAAATGGATGAAACCACCTCCCCTCTAAACAGATTGCCATCCCTGTGATCTAGTGAGTGGCAAAAGAGAGAGGACTGGACTAGTCTCTTAAAGATAATAGTATCTACCCGTCTTGAGTCCTAGATAGTTTATATGCATTTAGTGGTAGAAACTGATAGCTAACTTAATGTATTGATGATTATGCTCCTCTATAAGTTTCTAGTGCTGTTTGGCCTCTTCCTTATAAACTGGAAGAATATGTCGCCAGATAAGAGCTAAATTAGAAACAATAAAATTTAACCCTGATAAATATATTTGAAATAAAATTGCTATGGAAGGAACTAGATGTTGCCCCTGAACTCTTTTGTAGAAATCATTAGGTAAATAGCAAGTAGTTCTATTTGCTGCTTCAAATGCAAATGAACAGATTGTTGACTCTTAATAGTATGTTCTTTGTGCTAGGCACTAGGTTCCCAAGGAACTTTTCTCCATAGCCTTCAAGAAGATAAAGGAGTAAGAGTAACTACCTCATTCAATTTAAACTTTATTTTTCTGGAAGGCTGCAGAACTTGCCAGAATTTAGTTTGCAGAGAAAATTACTTTCTGAGTATGGTATTTCTGGTTGGTTGGTTTTAGGTGTGCAGTCCAGCTGCCAAGATAGGATTAGATTTCTGAATTGGTTCCTATACACTGACCATCAGTGACATGATCACAGACTTTTGAATCCTGTTCACTTAAGGGAAGTAAATCAGTTTTCAATAGCCAGACATATACACATAAAGTCTTAGGAAAGAAAAATGACTTCCTGCAGAAGTATCCACTTGAAATAATTGAGAGGCTGAGGGTATTATCCCAGTGTCAAAGGACTTGCTTAAATGTTTAAAGCCCTAGCACCACAAACACACAAAGGGCTGGGGAGATGGCTCAATTTGGTAAAGTGTTTACCGTGCAAACATGAGGACCTGAGTTTAGATCTGCAGCACAGCAATCCTTACCTAAAATTCTAGTATTGGGGAGGCAAATTCAGGAGGGATTTCTTGGTTTGTCAGTCCAGCCATATATGTGAGCTCCAGTTTTAGTGAAAGACTATCAAAAAATAAAGTCAGCTGGGTGTGTTGGGGTACACCACCTTTAATTCCAGCACTCTGGAGGCAAAGGCATCTTTCGTGTTTGAGGCCAGCCTGGCAGCAGGAGTTCCAGGACAGCTGGGGCTACACAGACTCTCTCAAGTACCATCCGGTCTGCTGGATCATATGGTCTAAGTAGTAGAGCAGCCTGCACAGCACCCTGGACCTGTTGAAGAGCCTTCTTCTGTTCCAGGCACCACACAAAGCTAGCAACTTTCAGAGTTACTTGGTAAATGGGACTGAGTAACGCACCCAAGTGTGAAATGTGCTATCTCTCGAATCCAAATAGACCCATTTAAAAAAAAGTGAACTACAAATGAGCAAGATACCTTGACCTCTGGCCTCCACAAACATACTACACTTTCACACATACCCTATAAAAGAAAACAGCACTTGAATGCTCACAAAATCTCATTCCTAACAAGATTAGAAACCATGTTTTTATTAAATAAGCTTCTTTATAGCAGATTTTGCTATCTGTGTATCATAAAGGATCTGGCCAAGTTCTTAGAAGGATAATCCAGGGCAATAGTATCTCAACTAGAAACAAGTTTGAGCCAGATGTGATGGATACCTCTGATCCTAGCACTTGGAAAGGGAAAGCAGGAGGATCAGGAGTTCTAGACTAGTCTGTACTCCATGAGACCTGTCCAAAAAAAAAAAAACCAAAAAACAAAAACAAAAAAAAAACAACAAAAGGTGAAAAACAAAACCAAATAAAAAACCTGGTTCAGATTAATTTTACTAGGGTTGCAAAGTAAGGCAAAGAGAAAACACGCAGCAAAACAGATGTCAGCTATGACAGCACTTTCTAACCAGTTAAGTCATTTTAGTGTTAGGAGCCTGAGTATTTTAAGGGGATGGAAGGGCCTGTTTGTGCTCAAAGCAGCCACCTGAAGATCTCAAAAAAACTCACATTTGGCACACCTATGAACCATCCTCAACAAGACAGTGAAGCTTTGAGCTCTGGCACTTCTATTGAAACGAACAGATATTGTTTATTTAATCATATGCCACTTACCCTGGGCCACTACTCTAAACATTGCCCTGCTATTAACTACTATAGTCTGCTACAATTGGAACATCAGTTTTTAGTACATAATTGTTTTAATGTATTTCAGTGTCCTCCTGTTCTCTTCCATTTTTCTAAGTGTTTTTCAGCCAGGGTCATCTTTTCAAAATTTTAACCATTGGCCTTACATTTTTATAATCTGAACTCAAAATTCCTTCATTATTCCATTTCATTGCCCACTAATGCTTTAATTGTGGCAGATCTTCCTAAAATCTTAGCTGTTCTCTAAGGCACTGCCTAACTGTTGGTGCATTATTTTTATTCTCCTGAATTAAAGAAACCCTTTGTTGACCTGGAGGCCTCAGGCATGCTAATTACACGTTAGTTATACTAGCCAAGAAAATGTATTTATGCCAAGTGTGGTGGCACTTGTGGTGGCGATTAAAGAATCACAGCACTCCAGGCAGAGGCACTAGGATCTCTTACCAGTTTCAGGCTAGCCTGGTCTACATAGTAAGTTCCAGAACAGCCAGGGTTATGTAAAGAAATTGTGTCTCAATTGCCCCACTCTATCCCACCCCCAAAAGGCGTGTTATCTAGGAATGTTAACCCTCTATTTTGCTATTATCAAAACATCTAATCATTCTCACATTTGCAAAAGGTTTAAGCTTCTGGTTTACAATCTGTCTTTCTTTACTGTTTCCTTATTTCTATTCCATGGACCCCGTGCCAAGCGTTATTAGCTCCTAGTGTCATTTGGCCTTGCCACTTTGACCTCAGAGATCTCACAATTTTGCTTACATAACGTTGGTCTTTAATTATAGAGCCTTGCAGTTTTTGCGACCCCTATTTCAGTAACCAGTGTGTTTGCCAGGTTTGACAACCCAAGTTGTAGTCTGGTTTGGGCCATAAAATTCCCAAAGCCCTGGAGAAGTTTTCGGACAGCTTCACACGTGGTAACAAAGTAACTTAAAGAACCACAGTCCCTGCCTCAGAATAGTCCACGTTCGCTCTGCGCTGAGGACCGCCTGGAATACGAGAGAGACTAGTCAGCGCTTATCAGACCTTCCAAGACAATGAAGGGGGGTTCGGCTCTCCCTCCTAGTGCAACTTACCACTCCACTTTCATTCACCCCCTCGTCTGCTCCCGCTCCTCCTTTTGCCACGCCTCCACCCAGTTCTCGCGATACTTGATGACTCCGTTCGGCCTGCATTTATCGCGAGGCTGTAGGCAGGGCCGGGCCCGACATGGCGGAAGGTAGGGTTTTTGTGGGGCGGCGCGGGAAGACGCGACGCTGTAGGGGCGCCACTGTCCAGGCACAGAAGCCCCAGGAGAGGTTGCACGGATGTGGTCGCACGGGGCATCACGTGTCTCGCGAGCCTTCCTATATAGTGTTTCGGGGCTCCCCGGGCCAGGGTTCTCAGCGCCGTTCCTATGGCAACGCCCCTCCTGCAATCTGTCTTCCCCACCCCTCCAGCCCCCTCGATCCGGGTAGGCTCAGAACGGGAAAGGAGTCTGGTGCTGGGAGCGAATGCACCCGCGGGGCTCTAGAAGGCTATAGAGGAGGCTGGCTCCTTGTGCCAGCGATGCTGGAACGGGGAGGGAAGTGCCCCTCTCCTTAGGAAATCGAAACTGCTGTCATGGCAGGTCCTGCATCCGGAAGGGTGCATCTCTTGCCTGCGGAAGAGCTTAGGACTCTTCTTTGGAAGAGGTCGGGAAGAGCCGGGACTGCAACTGGACGACGGGCTTCTTGAGCGTGCGCTGTAGTCTCTAGGCTTTTTGGCAACCCTGGCAAATATGGGCACGCCAAGATTCTCTGAGGTTTACAGAGGGGACAAGCGGAGAGGTTTCCTCAGTAAGGGAGTTGACCAAGGTCACACTGCTTGAAAGAGGTGTGCTAAAGCCAAGCTTCGGTTCCTTTACCTCCTGCTTCAGTCCTTACTTTTTTAGGATACTTTATGACACTGCAGGTAAAGGCATCTGGTTTCATCTTAAAGGCCTCCCTTAAGGAATAATTTTAGGTTCTTTGCTTGTCATAGCTTTACTGTACGAGTGGGGAAGAAAGCCCTGAGATGATGAGTGATCAGACAGTGATATTAGACCTGGCTTGTGTGTTTCTCCTATGTACCCCATTGTTGGAGAAAAATACTTATTGTTGGACCTTATTGAGTGGCTGGAGATTGCTTGATCTAGACCTGGCCTTTTTTTTTTTTTGGTAAGCTTTGATTAAACCCATCGTTTCTTGATCTGAGATTTGGGTAGTGTGACCGTTTGTGTAGTCTTCTCAGATTTGAATTAGGTTTAAGAATAACACGAAGTAGGCCTACCGGGTATGTTATTTGCCCTTTATAGCTAAGTGAACTAAGGCCAGAGTCATGGCTGAGACTGGATCCAGTTTTCATTTTTACTCTTTCTATCATGTTAAACACCTTGGAGGTGGAATCTCAGGTGAGCACTGTCCAAAGAAGAGGAGGAAGCAAAGGGACTGAAAGGGCCGGGTGTGGTGATGCATGCATGTAGTTCATTGGCACTTGGGAGGCTGGAAGCAGAAGGATCAGGATTTAAGGTCACTTACAACCTACCTGGAGTGCATGAAACCCTGTCCAAAAAAGGAACTAGATTTTGCAAACTACAGAATGTTGTCTACCTGTTGCTCAGTAGTGAGGTTTGGGAGGAAGATTCAGGAGGGCATGATGTGAGGTTGTGTGTAGCATACTGCTTTTAGGAGGGAATCTGAGTGGTGGGGAAATACATGACCAAGTTTCAGGTGGAGGAGGGTATAGTTTTTCATTCAGTGATTTTTATTGAGAACTTAATTGTGGTTATGCACAGGTTTCAGTTGTGGGAAATTCTTACAAGCCAAAGTCAGCACACTGATTGTTGACTTTTGGTTGCCTTGAGGTGATTAGAAACATCTAATCAGTGGGCCATACACCGTAATGACAAACATCCAGGATTAAACGGTTGGAGGGCTCAGGTGATGGGGAGATGACAGTCTTCCTCCCTGACCTCACTGTCGACCCTAGCTACAGGCCAGTTTCCTAAGTCCCAGTGAAGACTTGAAAATGATGTTGCAAAATTCAACTAGGAAAATTTGAGGAACAAAGAAAAACAAAATTACTAAAGGTATTTTGTTTCTTATGCTGCATGTGTTTTTGTTTGGTTTGGTTCTGCTGCTGCTTGTCAGAACTGGCTGTGTTCAGAGATATTCATAAACACAAATAGCAAATTTTTGTGGGATGAAAAACTTAAGATTATTTGTCAGCATACTCTAGAAGCTTTCCTGGTAATTGGTTATTTGGTGGTGGTTCAGGTTTGGGAATTAGTACTCAGGAATAGTAATCAGAACCTGAGAAACCATGTATTCAGCAAATTATCTGACTTGTATAGAAAACTTTCTTTTTCCTATACCTAGTCATGTATTTAAGTCCACTCTAAAAGCTTTTTCCCTCCCTTTTTAATTTTTTTGACACAGGGTCTCACTTTTAGCTCTAGTGGGCCTGGAACTTGCTGGGTAAATGGGGCTGGTTTGGAACTCACAGAGATACTGCCTACCAGTGTCTTCTGAATTTGGGATTAACAAAAGGGGTGTGCTACCATCCTAGCCTCTAAAAGAGATTTCTCTTTCCATTTTGTACTCTGTTTTGTACAATCTAACCTGTGTTTTCTTTAAACTCCGCTGAACCATTTTAAGTTTGCATGTGATCTGTTTTTACTTTTTCTCCTTCAATTTACTCACACAACCTCTTTCAGTTTTTCACATTCTCTTTAAAGCAAACTTGATCTATGCCAGATGTTGTGTGCTCCCACACTTGGGAGACAAAAACAGAATCAGCAGTTCAGGGACATCCTCAGGAGCGTGGCAAGTTCAAGGCCAGCCAGGGATGCATGAAACGTTGTCTCAAAAAGAATAAAAATCATGGCCAGGTCAATAGCTCAGTGGCTACAGGCTTGCTACCAAGCCTGACCACCTGCGTTGGTCACAGAGAAGTGGTAACTGACTCCACAGATTGTCACAGTAGTGCCACTTCCAGTGCTTAACACTTCTAGTGTTCCAGCCATGGAACAGTCCCCTCCAAAGAAATGAGTAAATAAACCCTTAAACACAAATCAGGGTTTACATCTCTTACTCTTTCAAATAGTCTTTCAAAGAATTTATATTTATTTTTATCTTACATGTATGGATCTTTTGCTTGCATGTAGTATGTTTTGTTTATCACATGTATGCCTGATGCCTGAGGAGGCCAGAAGAGAACATGAGATCCTCTGAGCTGGACTTACAAATAGTTGTGGGTCACACTTTGGTTATTGAGAATTGAACTTAGGTCCTCTGGAAGAGCAACCAGTGTTCTTAATTGCTGATCCATCTCTCCAGCCCCACCTCTCCTGTTCTTAGACTCTTAATTGAGAGATTTCCTTCATCATATTGACTTGTAGGCAAGTCAGTTGTTCATTTTCTTGAGTAATGATTGATTTGGGAGGGGCCAGACCACTGTGAATGGTGCCACTTCTGGGCCGGTGGTCATGGGCTGTATTAGAAAGCAGGCTGAAAAAGCCATGGAGTAAGCCAGTAACTAGCTCCATGGCCTCTGTCTCAGTTCCTTCCTTCAGGTGCCTACTTTAACTTCCTTCAGTAAATATCAATGGGGGATATGGAAGCCAAATAAATGCGTTCCTTCCCAAGTTGCTTTTGGTCATGTTGTTTTATTGAAGCAATAGAAAGTAAACCAAAACATTATATAAACTGATGGATTCAACTTAATCACTCTGAAAACCGTCGCTTTGCTAGGAGTGCCCTAACCACCACCTGGTACTTGGTTTTGGTATAGTGTCTATCTTTGTGACCCATTACTCAAAGTCATGATCTTCCTGCCTTATAGATATGCAAACCATACCTGGCTTCCTTAAACTACTGTCTTAGTTGCTGTTCCATTGCTGATAAGAGTCAGCATGACCAAAGCATTTCATTGTTGTGAATTGAAATTGCTCACAGGTTCAAGAGTCTTAGTTGGTTACCATCATGGGGAGAACATGGAAGTGTGCAGGCAAGTGCAGGAGCAGGAGCTGAGAACACTATACCCTGATCCACAGGCAGAGGGATGGAGACCGAGACGGAGAGGGAGAGAGGGAATGTGAGAGAACGTGTGTGTCACCCCCAGTGACATACTTCCTTCAATAAGGCTACACTTCCTAATCCTTGTAACCCTTTCAAAAAATTTTACTCCCTGGTTAACAAGCATTCAAATATACGGCCATTTTTTTTTAATGATGCTTTTATATTTAAAAAAAAATTTATTTACACCAGGCAGTGGTGGCGCACGCCTTTAATCCCAGCACTTGAGAAGCAGAGGCAGGCAGATTTCTGAGTTCGAGGCCAGCCTGGTCTACAGAGTGAGTTCCAGGACAACTAGGGCTACACAGAAAAACCCTGTCTCGAAAAACAAAAGCAAAAAACAAAAACAAAACAAAAAAAATTATTTACATTGGTGTTCTGCATCTGTGTATGTCTGTTTGAGGGTGTCAGATGCCCTGGAACTGGAACTGCATACAGTTGTGAACTGACGTGCATGTGCTAGGGTTTCAACCTGGGTCTCTGGAAGACCAACCGGTGCTTTTAACCTCTGAGCCATCTCTCCAGCCCCTATTGGGCCATTCTTAATTCAAACCACCACAACTACTTTTTTTTTCTAGCATATTTAAGTCTTAATAATGCACAATTTTTAAAAGATTTTTATTTATGTGATTTGTGTATTTGAGTGCTCTATTTGCATGTGTGCTTGCCTGACAGAAGTGGGCATCAGATCCCATTACAGATGGTTGTAAGCCATTGTGTGGTTGCTGGGAATTGAACTCAGGACTTCTGGAAGAGCAGCTAGTGCTCTTAACCACTGAGCTATCTCTCCAGTTCCAATAAAGTATAATTTTTGAGTTGGAGATATAGAGTGCTTACTTACCTTGGGTCTATTCCCAGCACATCAAAAAACACTTTTTGAGATTGTAATATGATTACAATGTTTTTCTCCTTTTCTCCCTCCAAACCCTTCCTTATACTCTCTACTCTCCTTCAAATACATGACCTATTTTTCCACTAATTGTTACTGCATGCAGGGGTGTGTGTATGCGCGTGCACACACACGCATGTGTGTGTGTGTCTTTATACACACATAGATATATATTCCTAAGTATGACCAATTTGTATAATGTTATTTGTATGTATATTTTCTGGGTTGACTATTGGGCACTGGGTAACCATTTGG